TAGCTTAAAAAGTTGTATATTAATTATGTTATTTTTTTGAAAACGAATATTTAATAAAATTTTAAAAAAAGTTTTTTAATTTAAAGTTTATATATAAATCTATTTTGTATTGTATTTGTCTAATAATCAAAAAAAGTTGTTAAATAATTTAATATTCTTCGACTACAATCGATTTAAATAAATTCAAGAAATTTTTTATTGACATATTGTTTATACGCTAAAATATTATTGTATTATTGAAATTATCGAAGTACTAATTATCAATACTAACATATGATAAAAAATATTTTTCATGTTATCTGTATTAAATAGATTTAAAGTCGATAAAAATTTCATTCTGGTTAATGTAAATAAGCCATGACCACAGTTCCTTGAATTAGTATCTTTATGACTTAATCGACCTATATTTGTCGATTCGACCAAGCCGAAATTTAAAATTTGGCTTGACTGACTATGCAAAATCGATTGCCTTTAGCGTTAGTATTTTATAATATATATTCCGAATTCTTCCATTCCACTATTATAAGTTGTTTGGTTGTCTGGTTAAATATTTAAATAAACGAATAAATTTATTATTAGCTATATATATCAGATATAAATATATAATGCTTGTTCTCTGATTGGTTGATATTGATATGATATACATGATCATAGTCCCGCATTTTGATTGGTTGATATGATATTCGTTCCAGTAAAAAAAATCTTAACCGGAACCACTGGAACGCTGGAAAAATCTGGACGTCCAGTGGAAGTTCCAGCTTCCAGTTAACAACACTGCTTTATAGTATAGATTGGATGTCTTTGACGTCCTGCACTGTATGACGTCTGGAAATCACGTGACCGGAAAATCGATCCCTAACTATAATCATACCTGATACCCATTTCGGGTTTGTGTGAAACCTTATTGGACAGTTTTTACGCTTCAGCGGTGTTAGGTTTTGACTTTCGACATCATGGAAAAATGGTTTCGTCTACAAACTACGCCTTTTGTTTTTTCGTCTTCCATTAGGACTTTAAATTATCCATCTTTCACTACAGGTTTCTTTCACCGAAGGATTTGTCTTTTGTCAGGGACTTCAGAGTTCCAAACATTTCACCAGGGATTTCGTCTGTCGTCTTTTGTTGGTTTTAAGCTTCGCCTTTCATTATTACATAGAATAGCTTCGCCTAATAACTTTAGGGTAGATCCTATAAGTGTAAAAAGAATTGCAACTGTTACTAAAAATGTAAAAAATGAAAAGGATCAAGATTTTCTATATGATGGACATTATGACCTTAAATCATTTCTTGCTATGAAAGACGTTAACACAAATTCTTCAATATATCGCGGTACTTTATATGAATATCAGACCATATCATGTCTTAAAACAACACTTGGAATTGTTACAAGGCGAGTAGGCAAAGCTAATGATGGAGGAATAGATTTTCGAGGTCAGTGGATATTACCAGATAAAAAACTATATGTCGTTGGTCAATGCAAAGCCTTAGCAAAAAAATGTCCTCCAAATATAATTCGAGAGCTTGAAGGTGTACTTTGTCAAGAAACTGAGGGAACATTATGCATTCTGTCATCAATGAATGGATTTACTAAAAGTGCTATTAAAAGATATATTGCATCGCCTTTCCCTATTATGCTAATAACAGTTACAGATCAGGGAAAGAAATATAGTTGCATTTTATGGAATAAAACAGCCGAAAAATATTTGAATGAATTTCAAGTAACCTTGAAACATGATCTTCTGAATTCAAAGCCTCTTATTTTATATAATGGTGAACCTTTTTTAAATGAAATTGATGATTGTTGGTGCGTATTTCAGTATTATCTTTTACTATTTTATTGCATTTATTCGTTTATTTAAATGCATTTTTATTTGGTCACGATTAGGAAATCAAATGGCACCAATTATTAGGTTCGATTTATGCCATCTATATCAAGTCAACAACTTTAAACTCCTATCCAATCAAAAAAATTGCCAAAGCTAAAGCTTGGAAAAATATATGAGTATGAATTTTTTATTTTTATTTTTTTGAATTGATAATTTTTGAGTTATTCGATAACCATGTGTCATTTTTTACACACTAGGCTATGAGAATGTTTGTCAAACTTCAAAAGAAAACTAATATAATAATCGAAACTTCTGACATGACTGAGAAAGAAAAGGCTAATAATATTTCAAAAATGTTAAGGCGCAGAATAAGGTCAAAAAGAAGTAAAATTGGTTGTTGCTAAAGACCCTGCCAAATATTAAAAAGGTCGTGTTAAAAGAAGATACAAGGCAATTCATCCTCCTGTACAATGGTTTTGCTAATTCCACGTTGTACTTATAAAAGAGGCGAAGAAAATAATTATTAACTTAGATTGTTATAATTTTATTTATTTATGGTTTGAGCACTATTTTTAAATATTAGCAATTCTTTAACAATTAGAATTAAAACTATGGTTAGCTTTCATAACGAATTTTTTTCTTAAATTATTGGTGTGGTGAAATAAAACTATTCAAATTAATAGTGTTCCGATCCTTAATCCGACCATCTGAATTGACCCTTAAATCTATATAAATTTAAATATCCAGATCTCTAAGTTTTAAATATTTTTAAAAATGTAACTGATAAAAACTATTCATTAGTTTAGAGGTGCGATCCGTAAACTATTAGTTAATATAAATAAACCGCAGTTTATTGTAAAACCGTAGTTTTAAAATAAACTACAGTTTATTTATATGTAATATAATTCACAGTTCGCATCGCTACATTAGTTCTATTCAATTATCAGTTAGAATTTTTTAAAAAGTTTATAGTTAAAGTTATAAGTGTTTAAAAATCTATTATGTTTCCAAAATTTTGGCATACTGTATACTGTAATATAAAAAAAAATTTTAAATTTTTTTTATCCAATTAGCATTAGTATATAATGTATTCTGATTGGCTAAAAAGCATTTATATATACTCCAAATTTGGCGCATCTGATGTAAAGTAACTTGAAGCACTATATAAATTAGAATATATATACTGTAGTATATATATATAATTAAATCTAGATATATAGTATATAAGTAAAACATAAAATACTCTGATAGGTTTAGATTGCAGATAGAGTTAAGACCTACTTGAGCTTCTATATATATAATAAAAATATATACTGTATATATATTAGATAATATATAGTTATATATATTGTTATATTAGTGGTATATTAGTATTTTTAAATTTTTATTAAGTAATTCTGTGTAACTTCTAATTGTAGTACAAATCTGATTCCACCAATGGAATC